CTGTGGGTTATTTCGATTCTTTAGAAAGTATTAGGTCTGTTATTTCTGTCAGCCCTGTTTCATGTGTAGATTCAGATATTAAGGATATCGATATAATTAGATTGCGGGTACGTAATTCCATGTGAACGTTGATTTACCAAGAGTCGAATTGACACCATTCGTTGGCAATCCCGAACAATACTGCCAGTAAATTCGCCAATACGAAATCTTCGTTGAATGCAAGATCACCGGTGCAGGGCAAAGGTTTCTGTTCTTGCTGCATTACCGTCGTGGGGAAGCCAAAGAAGACGTACAAGGGTATGCAATGTTGAACCCGGAAGTGGGCTATCCGAGAGCGAGAAACATATTGAATGAGATATTTGGCCAACCATTCCGAGTGACACTCAACATGATTGGCGGAGTGCTGGCAGAAGCGAGACGCACACGAGGCGATACTAAGTCTCTATCAAACTTTGTCATCAAGATGTCTCGTCCTCAAACACCTCGAATATCGCTCGGACTTGGATGCACTAAATACTCTGGAATCGATAGTCAGATGTTTGCCTGCCGAACTGCAGACAGCCTGGACGACCGAGTCCGTTCGAATCGAGAGAAGGAGCAGAGAAACAACATTTGACGAACTCACTGAATTCATAAGCTGCCAATCTCGCATAGCGAACAGTAGGTTCGATCAACTGGGAAGAGAAAGCATCAGAACCCCCAGACATCCAACCAGCTTTACAACATTTGGATCTAGGGGTCTCCATCCTCCACACAACTGGGCGAGCGCCAATTTAATCTCATACGAGCCACACAAACCAATTAGGTGCAAACTGTACTCAGTTGTCCACAAGCTTGTAACCTACCCCGAGTTTTTGGCAATGAAAGTGATGGACCTTTGGACAATAGCTAAAAGGTCAGGGTCCTGCTTTGTGTGCTTGAGCGGTACCCACAGAGCAGCCATATGCAGAAACCGAACCAACTGTGGTCAAGACAACTACAGTGTTCGACATCACCCCTTATCACACAACGATGGAAGAGTTGAGCCGCGAACAAATAATAGCCGGGTCGATATAACTAACAAACAATCTGCGGAAGAATACACGAAAATCCGTCTGCACTATCGGACCGGTGTTAAGTGGACCGGTTTGCTTGGGAATAATACCCATCCAAGTAAAGATTCCGCGTGTTTTTGTCCAAGCCGTGGCGCTTCTAGACAACGGATCGGATACCACCCTTGTGAGAGAGAGCCTTGCACGAAAACACGACTTGGGAGGACAAAACAACTCACTGGTAATCAGCGCGGTGAATGGGGCACGAGCAGTTCGAGCTTTCCAACCAAGTTTGAAGTTGGCTTCCACATCGGGGGAAGATTCCATAGAGATGCATCAGACATTTAATACCGCAGGCCCAGCAATGAGAGCTTCCGAAAGTATCAGGTTGTTAGCGAAGCGCTGGCCTCACCTCTACGATCTACCGTTCGAGGATGTTCCGGACACTCGAGTGGGCATGTTGATTGACTGGGACGTACCCGAGGCGCATTGGGTTTTGGATCAACGAATAGGAGGCCGCAGAGATTCGTACGCTGTGCGCACGATTTTTGGTTGGATACTCCATCTACCTGAGAAGATGGCGACCGGCCTTTACGACCCACTGGGGTTCGTCGCACCGTGGCTACTTCCCGGCAATATTCTACTGAAGAACCTGTGTTGAAAAATGGTTACTTGGGATGAGGCCCTATGTGAAGCGAATCACAAAACCCGGCAAGGCTGGTGGATAAGCCTGTCCAGGGTGGGCGATATACGGCTCCCCCGTTCCATACCAAGAATACGCCGAAGGGAAAGCAAGTGAGTTACACGTCTTTGCGGACTCATCGGAGGTTAGATACGTTATCGTGACCTACAGTCAGTCGTCTCGACCAGGTAAAATGAGGCCTAGAAGTACACTATTTGCGAAAGACAGGGTCGTTCCTCTAAAGGCAGTCTCAATACTTAGGCTGGAACTAACTGCAGCAGTATTAGCCACGAGAACGGCGAAGATGCTAAGTTGTTTTCACCTGATCGAATGGACTGTAACCTAATGGACTTATTCCGTCATAGTTTTTCACTGTTAACAATGTACGGACGCGCTTAAGCACATTTAATGCCAACCGGTTAGCCGTCATTCACTAGAAAACTGAGGCGCGTTGACGGCAGCACTTAAAAACCGGTGACAATTCAGCCGACTACTGCTCCAGGGGTATGCTAAACTTGAAAAAAATTAGAATATGGTTACATGGGCCAGCTATTTTGGCAGGTCAGCCCCGTGAGTGGCCCAAAATTTAAATTCCCCCTGTCACAAAAGAAATAATGGAGACCGTTACGTTAGAAGCTGTTTCAACCAACATCCTACTGCAGAAACCGCATTGTTTTTCACGATGGAAGAAACTGCTGAGGGTAGATGTCTGGTTGACCAGGTTCAAACGACAAATCATTAATATGAAAGGACCCCGACCTAACGCTATATTGAATGTTGGGCCCATCATTCCAAACAAATTGAAAAAACGAAACACTGATGTCGTTCTTAGGTTTCCATTGTAAGCATTCCAGTCGGAGATTTATAGGTATCGAACTGGCGTGCACTATGCCATCGTCGACATATGCTGCCTTGAGCCGTTCGATGTTA